GGCCATGATATCTCAGCCACACCAGCCCATTCCTCTCTCCTCTCCTCTCTCCAGCCTCCTCTTTTCCCGCCTCCTCCGAAATACCTCCTCCCGGTCGCACCCCGAGACGTGTCGGTAGGGCGAGCCGGGCGTTTCGCCTGAGATTGCGAAGGCCTGACGGCCGGTGCCGCCGACCCTGAAGGGAGACGACGACGACGACGACGACGACGACGACGACGACGACGACGACGACGACGACGACGACGACGACGACGACGACGACGACGACGACGACGACGACGACGACGACGACGACGACGACGACGACGACGACGACGACGACGACGACGACGACGACGACGACGACGACGACGACGACGACGACGACGACGACGACGACGACGACGACGACGACGACGACGACGACGACGACGACGACGACGACGACGACGACGACGACGACGACGACGACGACGACGACGACGACGACGACGACGACGACGACGACGACGACGACGACGACGACAGCGGCGGCGGCACTGACGACGACGCGGACGCGGGCCAGAGTCCTCATGGATGGTTCTCGGGGTCTCTTCGGAAGTGTCTCGGGGCCTCTGGGGAGGAATTTTGGGGCCTCTTAGGAGACTCTTGGGGGCCTCTTGGGAGCCTCTTGGGGGCCTCTTCGGGCTTCCTGGCGACCTCTTGTGGGCCTCTTGGGGCCACTGGGGAACCTCTAGGGGCCTTCTGGGAGCCTCTTGGGGCCGAGGGCTCGAAATGTCCGTTCGGGTCCCCCGTCTGGGCACGCTCTAGGAGCCGTATTGGGGCCATCTGGGGCAGTCTTGGAAAGCGTTTTTGGCTGTTTTGGGGTCCTCTTGCGTTGTTCTGGGGCCTTCTTGGAGGCCTCTTGGGCCGTGTTGGGGAGGTCTTGGGGGCCTCTGGCGCTGTTTTGGAGCGGCGGGAAGTGGGATCGGCGAGAACGCCAGCACCTTAAAACAACCAGCGAAACATCAATGAATTTGGCTTCTTGGGGCCCTCTTGTGCTCTTGGAGGCGTCTTGGGGCGTCCTGGAGGCCTCCTGGGCAGTCTGGAGGGCGTGAAGGCGTTTTGGACCCCTCGTTCTGGCTGAGCCTCACCCTCGAAGATCGTCCCGTCGTCGAGGCTCGTCTCAGCACCGAACTCCGTCGTCTCTGCCGAAACCTCAATGGCTCCTCTACCCGGATGCTCCTGCTGTGGGGGAGGGGAGCCCGCATTTATCAGCTCGAGCCCAAGTGCCGGCGCTGCATACACGCATGTGAGTCACTTGCAACATCCTATATTCCCAGAGCAAACCTTCCAGAAATCTTCAGAAATCACACTCATATTATTTTCTCTAACTAAGCGTGACACGCAGCAGGCGGGCGCTGGGCGTAGCACCCAGTTCAACAGTCAAAAGACAGGCGTCGTTGCAAACAGCGCAACACCCGTGCTGATCGCCAAAGTGGCGTTGTAGTCGCACACAGCGTAGCGGTCCCTCACGTATCCGCCGAGCATGCTCCCTTGCTCGACTCACTGGCCTCCTCCTTCGTCATCCTCTCGTACATGTCACGGAGGCGGATGGTCTTCATCTCGGCTCTGATCTCCTTCTCCTTGCTGGGACGCAAGGTCTTCTCGATCTCGGAAAGAGCGTGTTCTACCGCTGCTGGCGGAAAACCGGGGGGGGTCACTACCGGTTCGAACCCCTCCCCCCCCCCCTCCGGAAAACCGGGGGGGGTCACTACCGGTTCGAACCCCTCCCCCCCCCCCCCCCAGCTCATCATGAAAAGGGGGGGGGGTCACTACCGGTTCGAACCCCCCCCCCCCCCCTCGAAAACCGAGTGGGGGTGCGGACAGTGGTGGGGACGGTGTTGGTGGGGACAGTGGTGAGGGGACAGCGGGACAGTGGTGGGGACAGTGGGGGGACAGTGGGACAGTGGTGGGGACGGTAGTGGTGGGGACAGTGGTGAGGGGATAGCGGGACAGTGGTGGGGACAGTGGGACAGTGGGACAGCGGTGGGGACGGTAGTGGTGGGGACAGTGGTGGGGACAATGGTGGGAACAGGGGGGGACAGTGGACAGTGGTGGTGACGGTGGTGGTGGGGACAGTGGTGTGGGGACAATGGGAACGAGGTGGAAACAGTGGGACAGTGGAGGGTACAATGGTGGTGGGGACAGTGGTGAAAGCGGTGGCGAGGACGGCGGTGGGACAATGGGACAGAGGTACAGTGGGGACAGTGGTGGGGACAGTGGGGACAGTGGTGGGAACAGTGGGACAGCTCAGTGGGACAGCGGAGGAGTCAGTGGGACAGTGGGGACAGTGGGGATAGTCGGGCAGTGGTTGGGGCCGTGGAGACAGTGGGGAGAGTGGAACCGTGGTGGGAACAGTTCTGGGGACAGCGGGGACAGTGCGACAGTGGTGGGGCCACTGGTGGGGACAGTAGGGGCGGTGGTGGAACCAGTGGGGACAGCGGTGGTGAGGACAGTGGTGCTGGGAACACCAGTGGGGGATGTGATGCGGACGGTGGTGGGGACCGGGAGTCGTTTGCTGGCGGTGAGTAGGGGGGGGGGGGGGGGGGGGGGGTTCGAACCGGTAGTGACCCCCCCCGGTTTTCCGGATCCGGAGGGGGGGGGGGGGGGGGGGGAGGGGTTCGGGTAGTGGGTTTTCGAGGGGAGGGGGGGGGGGGGGGAGGGGTTCGGGGGGAGGGGGGGGGGGGGGGGGGGGGGGGGGGGGAGGGGTTCCGGCACGGAGGGGGGGGGGGGGGGGGGGGGACCCCCGGGTTCCGGAGGAAAAGGTTGGCAATTTTCCACAGTAAAGCGGCGGTGGATCACGCTCTCTCCGATCTCGCGATACTCCTTCTCTCGCTTCCACCACGTCGTGTCCGTGTCCACTAGCAGCATGCCACACTGCAGGCACCGGAGCTTGTCCTTGTACTGGTTGCTTCCTTGTGTAGTCGTCACCTGGTGCTCACAGTCGCCTATGCTGTCTCGGGCCATTTGCTTCCCCTTGAGCTTGCCCTTGGCCTTGCTCGTGGACTCGTGCGTCTCGAACTCACCGCCTTTGGCTCCACGCTGCATGGAGACGTAGGTCTTCTTTCCTCGACGGCACTCGTCGCAGTTCTTGACCACCAGCTCATACGCCTCGAGAACACCTTCCTCTATCACGTCGCCGAACTCGTCCGCGATCTTCTCGTACGATAAATGTCCGGTTCTCTCGTGTAGCGCGCGAGCCTTCAGCATCTCCTTCTTCGTCGGTGTAGTAGATTCCTTGCGTCGGTGCGGTACCTTATGCCATGTCCCTGCTTCTTCGTCATCATCATCTTCGTCATCAGGTACAGCAGGTAGGTCGTCGGACCGCGCAGAGGTCGTCGGACCGCGCACTCGCACTGGTCCAGCGTCATCCGACACAACGCGCACACCGTCACCGTCGCAGCTGCAGCGGCGCCTGACTTGATCTCCTCAGACTCGGCACCCGCAGCGTCCATCATGTAGATCTCCGCGACGTCGGTGCTATCCCACTTCACGTTCTCGTCCGACTCGACGTGCGCACCAAGCTCCTCAGTGACGCCTAGCTCCTTCTGGGGGTTGTCATCGTTCGTCACCTTCGGCTTCTTGATGGTGTGCTTCTCTGTGACGTCCTTCTCGTAGCGCTCGAGGGCCGCCTTGGTCGGTGCGTAGATCGTCAACAGCTTCCGCACCTGGGTCGGGATCCTCCGACGCTTCGTCACCTGGTCTAAGCCAGACCAGTCGACCATGTCCTCGAGCTTCTCGTAGTAGATATCGTCCTCGCGCTGCCCGAGCATCATCCGCCAACGAAGGCAGGGCTTCGGGGCAGGCTGAGCCACACGCGCATTGTACCTCACATCCGCAATGCAGTTCTCGAAGTAAGTGTGGCCCTCGTGAACAAAGAGCTGGTCAGCAGGTCGCTGCCTCTTGGGATACTTCGAGCGGTAGTATTCACCTCTGCGTCCTTTGAGTTCCACCTCTGCTTGGCTATGATCTGGTCCGCCATGAGATCCTCCGTCAGCCGGTACTCACCGGTCTGGAGCACATACCTCATGTAGTCGCTAGCGCCGACGTCGTGCTTGGTTAGGCAGTCGGCGAGCATCTGCTTCGTGCTCACCCACTTGCTCACCACGTTGTTGAACTCCAGATCGTTCCTGAGCGACTCGATATCGATCAGCAGCCGTTTCTCGGAGGGCACCGTCCCTCGCTTCTGGAGCAGGTCGTAGAGCGTTTTACAGTCCGTGACTTCCACCATCTTGATCGCCTTCACGCCGTCCATGTGGGTCCTGTAACCTAGTCCGTAGTGCAGCTCCACCAGGTGCTGCCTCAGCATGTCGCCACTCTCGACCGCCTCCAGCGCCGCCATCGTCTCGGCCGCCAGGGTACTGCGCACCACCCGCTTGATACGGTGCGATCGCCACAACATGGGAGTGACCTTGGCCGGCCTCCCGCGAAGGAACTGATCGTCCTTGTTGTCTGCGAGCAGGATGACCAGGCCCGCCTGACTCGCGGTCTTCGTCTTGCCCACGTTGCCGTGGCTCGAATCTCCAACCGCCACCACGATCGCGTCGTCTATGTTGATCTTCTGGAAAGTGATGTCCACATGGTCCGTCTTGGCTTCGCTCACCAGCTTGTTGAAATCCAGCAATCCTGAACCTTCAGGTCGCTGTCGTGAGCCCTCGCTTGACTCTCCACCAGTCGAAATGCCAAGTCCATACGGGTTGATCGCACCAGCCACTGAATCTGGCCGTTGCCGCTGTGGAGCATCGCCCTCTCCTCGGGTGTAGCCTTCGCTTCCTTGTCCTTGCGACGCTCGTTTGAGATCGGAATCTTCACGATGCTCTCGGTGTACTCCCTCTGGCTGCAGGTGATGGTGCCATCGTCGCTCTGCTTGAGGAATCTCCCGCAGTGGTGGAAACCGGTCTTCGCCGTCCGCCACTTGCCGTAGCAGTGCATCTTCCTCAGCTAGGTCACCTGGTTAGCGAAGAACTCGGGTGAGCCCGCTACCAAATCAGGCCGATCAGCTTCTCATTCTCGTCGTGGAAGATGAAGAGGGCCGGGCGCAGCTTCGATCTCGACGCTCCTGGGAGAGACAGCATGGTGTCACGATGCTCCTCGTACCACAACAGAGGTGCATCATTCAGCCCGTAGATCCCCTTCTTCGCTCTCAGCACCGTACCTTTTGGAACGGCTGGCCAGCCCATCTCCGGTGCAGCCGGCAGGCCGCCCTTCGGCGCGCGGAAGTACTCGCGTCGAGAGCATTCGAGGTACTTCTCGTTCAGAAATGCCCAGTCGACGTCGCCCTGTTCAAGCCTCCAACCCGACTGGCTAGCGGCCTCCTTCAGGATCACCGCCGTGGCTGTGTCCGTCAGAGCGGGGGCGTTGGTCTGCATTTCGCCAGCGAGCAGCTGCTTGTCCTTGTATCCTGGAACAATGTTCCGGGACTTCGCCTTGAGCGGGTGCTGCTCGTACGACAGGTTGCCCCTCGTCGCCTCGTTCTTGTCAGTGCGAACGCGCCTCATGGGCAGGATCGCTGTCTTGTCCACCCCCGCGAGCTCCTCCTCGGTCGGCCAGTCCACTGCATCGTACTCGACCCACTTGCGCCACTCCTCCAGGTCGCTCGCGTCGAAAGCCGCCTTCCACTCCTGTGGGATGCTGCGGATCTCCCAACCCTTCTTGGGAGTGACCTGCTTCTTCGTCGCGTCTGTCCTCCGGGACAGAAATGCGTCCCTCTGGCGGTTCCTGACCTTGACCAAGAGTGCTTCCTGATCCATCGGGTCGTCTGGTACCTTCGGAAGGCGCATGGAGCTGCCCTTGAGCCTCGCGTCGTAGTCGTAGGCGTTCGCGATCTGCCTCCTGGTCGTCGGGAAGCGTTCGCTTGAAGCTGAGTCGTGGTGCATGTTCTGGTTGCTCAGCTCGATCTGGTTGCTGTTGCCGTTGATGCGGAATACCTGGCGCAGCCGCCGCGTCCAGGTCCATGGAGTGCCCCTGCCCAGCTGCCGCAGCAGGTGGGTCTGTAGCTTGTTCTGGAGGAACCGGTTCTCCTCCCGGTAGTGGTGGTATTTCAGGTAGGTCTCCAGGTGCAGGTGCGTCCTCCTCCTCCTCGCGCTCTTTCTTCGGCGTCGCCTCGACCACTGGCCGTGGCGGTGGTGGAGCCGGCTCGGCACGCGGTGCCTTAGCCGTAGGCGTGTCGATCACACCGTCCTCGTGGTCCGAGTCTTTCTCGCCCCTCTCGCGGCGCGCGCCCGTCTTGTCGCTCCCGTCTGGCCCAGGTCCACGCTCATCGATGAACCCCTTCTGGAGAGTAGGTCCTCCACGCCAGTGAGAGAGCTGCCTGACCAAGTCCTCGTTCTCAACCATCTCCGCCTCGCTCTGGGAGGCGTGTCGCACCTGCTCCGGCGTCGCGAGCACCGGCGCCCCGCGGTAGCTGAGGTGTAGCCTCGTGTGGCTTTCGGTCGCCAACGCGATCGCTGGCCCACGCCAACCGTGCTCGCCCTGGAGCCTCTTCGACTTCACGTGCTTCACCTCGCGCCAGTAGAACACCAGCTGGCCTGGCACGAGCGGTCCACGCGGCGGGCGAACTCGGCCAACCATGGCCCTCCTGACGGCGTCGTCGCTGTCCAGCTCGAAGAACGCCCAGTTCGCCACCGCGCGTATCTGCTCTGCTCTCCTCGGGCCCTCCTCGAAGAGAGCCGCGCTCTGTGATGCCAGCTGCTTCTGGTCGCCCTCCATCGCCTCGATCAGCGAGGCCGGGATGCCAGGCGACCGGCCCAGCACGTATTGGTAAGGGGTGAAGCCATTTCGCCGAATGTGGTTGTTGTGCGTACTCGCTATCACCGATGTCCAAACATGCGGATCGTCGTCTTTGGTGAGCTGCACGTTGCGGTTCAGGCGCTGGAAGTGGTCTTTGAAGAAGTCGATCGCGCGCTCCACTCGACCCTTGAGCTGGGGCGTCTCTGCTGGGACCGGCCTCATCAGGATGGTGTACTTCTTTCCGATCTCCGCGAACCGCTTCGTGATGTGACCCTTGGCCGCGTCGTAGTACAGCACCTTGGGTGGTCCAGCCCACGATAGCCAGCCTTGCGAAAAGCATCGCAGGCTCTCCTCGCCGGTGATGGACCTCACTGCAGTGGTAGGGATGATTACCCGGAAGCCCGATGCGTCGTCCAAGATCACCATAACCATCAGTCGGGTCCAGTCTGCAAGTATCACCTCGGCCTCGTCTAGGAACACGTTTTCGTTGAATTCCGTCGAGAGGTTCAGGTTCGAGCTTCTCACCGTAGTCGGCCTGCCGAGCTCCTTGCACACGCCGCAGTCCAGCTTGTCAACCGCATCCAGCACTTGCCGTGACGCTCCGTAGGACTTCAGTCGCCGCTTCAGTGCGTGAGCAGAAGGATGGCTCAGGTTGAGGTGGGGCTTCTTGAGAGCGCCCCACTTGGCCGTGGTGATGTCCGAAGGCATATCCCCGAAACTCTCGCCCTCGTGTTGTAGGTCTCGATGTGCCGTGTCAACTTCGCGATCATCTGGAGCAAAGGTCTTGGGCTTGCTCCCGTGGACGTGCACCGTCGCAGGGAAGGACGTCTGCACCTTCGGCTCCTTCACGTAGAATGCGATCACCGTGTCAGTGGGGGACCGCTTGCCCAGCTTGATCGCTCCGAAGCCCGGGTCGCCCGCGTAGGCGTCGCTGTAGTCCGCCAGTACGCCCTCGCTGGAGTACGTCGCGCAGATGCGCCGCACTGCCCCGCGAGGGGGCGGAACCTCCTCGTCACCCGTCAGCACGCGCACGTCGATCAGGTCTTTCCCTAGCTTGAGCGCCTTGGCCACTGCGTTCACGATCTGCTTGCTCGGGGACCTCGCCGTGTCGCCCCCGATGCCCATCTCCTTCGGGCTTGTCCGTCGTGCCAGCTCGTGCGTGCCGGCGCCCGCCAGAGCCTTGCCCAGGTCGTCCGGCCAGGCGCCGGCTTGTGCCAGTGCCGGGCTCCGCCCGACCATGTCGGCGTGCTGGTGGCTCCCGTCGCACCTGCGCTCGAGCCACCCAGGGAAGCGCGAACCGTTGGGCACCATCATGCACGTCGGCTTGCGAATCGGGTCGCCGTAGTTGTCCACGAGCCCGTGCATGCACTGGCCCAGCGTGACCGTCTCGTAGAGTGGCGGCTTGTTCCCGTACCAGCTCAGCAGGTCCACGATCGGAACTTCCCGCCACGCCCGGCTGGTGAGGGGATTCTCGCCGATGCCGATCCGTCCTCCTTCAGCCTGAATCTTGAGCACCTCCGCCGAAAAGTCGATCAGCGGCCGAAGCTCCTGGATGAGGTCGTCCACCCTATCGCCCATGCCTTGAGCACGCTGTAACTCTTGCATATTGGTATGGGCGGTACACGGGAATGCGACCGGAACCATCCAGGGCTTGAAGGTCCTGATCAAAAACAGGAAATCTGATCGCGTCCGAGGGTCGTTAAAGTTCACGCCAACTGACAGGTCCGAGGTGGTCGCATTCGCGTGACCACCCTTCGAAGCTACATGAGTAAAGCGAGCCTCCTTCGCGAACAACTCCCAGAGAAACGTCTCGTTGTTGTTGCGCAGCACGTCGAATATAGCCGCATTCTCCTTCATGAGCTTGTCGATCCGCTTGAGCGTACCCTTCTTAAAGATACCCTTGTTACCGTTCTTCGTTGCCTCCTGGACCCACCGATCGGCGTCGTCCTTGACCCTGAAATCTGGCTTGGAAACCTGCAGCGTCTCCGCGACCAGGAAAACCTCCGGCTCGACTTTCTCAACATTGATGCGGAACTTCTCGAAGAGGGGCTCCGCCTCGTACGACTCCAGGTCGTAGTCGAAGATGTCGATGCCCGCGTGGCCGCCGGGAAGCTTCACGAGCTCCTTGTCGCGCACCCCGAGCTCCTGGAAGTCGGCCCACTGGCCGTCCTCGCGCAGGTAGAGGTTCGTCTTCCAGTCCGCCAGGTTCTTCTTGCTCGCCAAGCCAATCATGTCACTGGGGATCTCGAAGTACTCCTGCAGGACGTGCTTCTTGCCAATGCCGATCGGGATGACCACTTCTGCTTCGCCTCACGTCGTGCGCCGCCGAGGCCCTTGAACTTCTGGCTCGCCTCGACGATGATGGGCCTCAGACCGTACTTCTCGAGCTCCACCGCGATCTTATCCAGCCAGCCGCGCCCTGCCACCGCCACGGAGGCGCCTCTGTCCACCAGGGTAGCTGGCACGGTCGTGCTCGAGATCATCGCGTCCACTTCTGGCACTTCTGGTAGGATCGGGTCGCTCTCCACGTTGACCATCATGATGTCGTGCTCGGCTGGCTCCTGGAATTTCTCCGTCGCGAGCTCCGGGTCCTGGACGTCCTTCTGGTGGAACATGTCCGGCATGACGCACACCAGTGTGGTCATCGCCCAGAATCGAAACCCAGCCGTCGTGGACGAGATTGAGCCTTCGAGGTCTTGCCGCGGCCCTTGAAGCCTTTGCCTGCCGGCCTCGGAGGTCGTGGCGTCGGGCAGTCCGGTGCAGCGTGGTTCATTCCTCCGCAGTTGGTGCACCTCTTGTCCTTCGACTTGCCTTTGCCACCGTCCTTGCCCTTGCCGCCTTTGCCGCCTTTCCCGGCTGCCTTGCCACCGGCCGCCGCGCTCTCGTCCACTACTCCATCGATTCGTCCCTTGAAGAAACCTCGAGCCGCCCGGAATTTGTTCATCTTCAGCCTGCTTTCGCGCAGCGTGACGAGGGCCTGTTGGTACTCGTCGTACTCGCTCGCGAGGTAGACGTCGGTGTCGTCCTCGATGTAGAACAAGTCGCTGCTGTCCCAGCTGTCGTCGCCATCCTCCGCGAACGCGTAGACACCGTACTCTTCGTCCCACTCGTACCAGTAGCCGTCGTCGTCCTGGACCCAGTACCCGTCGTGCTCGACGTTCTGGTCCTCGTCCTCGGGGTCGCGTTCGCCGTCGTTGTAGTTCGCCCATCGCCAGCTCGTTCTCGATCCGTCGATCCCGGTGCCGACCTCCACCTCGTGGGAAGAGGTTATTCAGCGTCGTGCTAATCTTCTGGAAGTTGAAGGTCTCATCTGCCCGTGCTATCACTAGGTTGCGCTCGTCCTTGTCCAGTCCGCTTTTCTTCAGCGTGTGGTACCCTAGCTCGTTCGCACTGATCTTCGTATCTGGGTCCACTTCGCGCTTCGCCACCTCCATCGCCGTGCAAAACGCCTCCATCGGCTCTTCGCCCTTCTTCTCGAAGTGTGTCTGGTCGAAGAAAGCGTCGAACGCCTTCGGCACGTCCCTGAAATTGCTCTTGACGAAGCGCTGCTCTTCGAGAAATCTCAGCAGTGTCTGGGCGCCGTCCTCCGTCGCGTAGTCTTTCGGGTTCGTCTGTTCAATCAGTGCAGTTGTCCGCGCTCTGCGAGCGCCTGCTTTGACTCCTTGCTCTCGCAGCTCAACTCCGCTGCTTGAACTGCTCCCTTGTATCTGGTGAAATCCTTCAGGGTTTTTCCCTTCAGCACGGGTATCTTCGGGCCCACCGCACTGTTGTACTCCGCCATGTTCGTAGTGTGCGAGATGGCTAGTCTCTCTTCCCTCTCTGTCCGTCCTTGGAGCTGTGGGGCCAACCACAGGCTCCGCTACCAACCTCGTTCTGGCTGAGCCTCACCCTCGAAGATCGCCCCGTCGTCGAGGCTCGTCTCAGCTCCGAACTCCGTCGTCTCTGCCGGAACCTCTATGGCTCCTCTACCCCGATGCTCCTGCTGTGGGTGAGGGGAGCCCGCATTTATCAGCTCGGGCCCGAGCGCCGGCGCTGCGTACACGCATGTTAGTCACTTGCAACATCCTATATTCCCAGAGTAAACCCTCCGGAAATTTTTAGAAATCACAGGACCGATCGTTTGGCGATTAGGGGCCCTCTTGGACCGTCTCAGCGTCCTCTTGGGGCACTCTGGCCTATCTTGACACTGGCTCTCAGGCGGGGAAAACGTATCTGGGTGGCGACCCCCCCTGGGACCCCCCCAGGACCCCCCCAGGACCCTCCCCAGGACCCCCCCGGGACCCACTTGGGACCCCCCCCCGGCGCGGGGAAGGGGTCAAAGCCCTTCGACTCGATCATGACATTGCTATAGATGTAGTTACTACCGTTAGTGCTGAGGGAAGGAGCTGTGGGGGAGGGCCGAGGGAGCGCCGCTCCCTTCTGCTTGCATAGCCTTCTCGGGTCCAAGAGCGGTTCCCGCTCTGGGCTTGCGCGCGGCCCCTGTGGGGCCCCTTGTGGGGGGGCCCGCGCAATGCCGCCCAAGGCCAGCGGTGGGCGCGGCCGCGGCGGGCGCGGAGCCGGACGTGGCTGGCGCAGCTGGTCCGCGGTCTGGGGGTGCGGCTCACGGACGCGGGCATCCAGGCCGCGGTGGTCGGGCTCCAGCAGGCCGCGGCGGGGCCCGCGGGCGTGGCGCCGCCTGTGGGCGCCGGGGTGTGCGCGGCGCCTGGGGCGGGCGTGGGGGCGCACCCGTGCGCGGTGCTCGCAACGGCGGCTTAGCCGGCGGCAGGCCCGCCCCTGGGCCTGGGCGTGGCCGTGGTCCCTGCTGGGCCCGTGGCCCTGGGCGTGCCGCCTGGCCTGGCGGGAATCTTGGGCGCTGGAGCTGCCCTTCTGCCTGCTGCCGCAGCGGCGGACTCGGGGTGGCTCGGCAGGGGGCTGTCGGCGGCGATCCTCGCGCAGCTCAGCAGCGGGCCCGGGGCGGTGATCGAGGTCCCGATATTCGACGAGTGCGGCGTGGTGGACGGCGCCGCGGTGCTCAAGCTGGGGCTGCAGTGGGCCGGCGACGCGCTCGGCGTGTTCGGGCTGGCCGAGTTCGCGGGTGCGTCGGCTCCGATGGCGACGGCAGTGCTCGACGACGTGTGGGCGCGGCCGCCGCTCATTCACCTGTGCAGCGGCTCGCGCGAGTCCTGACGCGCTGGGGCAGGTCGCCAGGCTGCTCTCCACGTGGACGCGCTGCGGGTCCGCAGTGCGGCCGCGATCGCCGAGCCGTGGGTGCGACGGCAGGCCATCTTCGGACCCGCGCCCGCGGCCGCTGCCGGCGGTGGCGCGGGGAGTGCGGCCGCATGCGAGGCGGCGAAGCTCACGGCGAAGGTCGAGGGTCTCAGGAAGGCTCTCAAGCGGAAGGCCACTGGCAATTTCGACTTGTTCTGAGTGGTTGCCAGGGGGCAGCGGCGAGCAGGCCCGCTGCTCGGCGACGACGACGCCGACGCCGACCTGCTTTTTCGCGACGCCCCCCCCCCAGCTCAGGCAACAGCAGGATTCAGGAGAGCCAGGGGGCAGCCCAGGGCCCTGCTGGAGGCCGACCTGGGGGAGATGGCCCGTTTCCTCGGGGAGGGGGGGGCTGGTCGGCAATCGGGGTCGAGGCCGGCGAGGGTGCTGGCGTGCCTCGCCAGCAACTTCTTCGGCCAGCATCCTCTGTCGACGATCTGCGTCCACGCCGTCGAGGAGATGAGAGCGATCGCGTCGGCGATCGATGCGCGGCTGCAGGATCGCCTCCCCGAGCTGGGGACTTCTTCATGCAGAGGCTGAGGGTGCTGGAGACGAGCGCGCGGGACATGGACTGGGTCGTGGCGAGCCAGCTCGAGCTCGCAGAGGAGGCCCCAAGGCTGGCGAGCGCGCTCGAACGGCGGCTCGGCACGCGCCGATGTCAGGAGGAAGAAATCACACAGACACAAGTAATCGTCGGCCCCTAAGAAAATACGGGGAAATATGGGAATCTGGCGGGCAAACAAAAAACCAAAACAAGTTGTAACATATGGGGGATATGTTTCTTTATGTGTATGTATTTGTGTGTCCCATGGCCCCTTCATGATGAAGGCGAAGCTCGTGGGCCTGCAGGCGTCGCCCAGCGCGACGACGCAGCGCTGGCCCATGGAGCGCCGCAAAGGGCCGCGCCAAAGTGGCCGTCGCCTCGACCGTGCTCAAGGATGCCCCGCGGGAGGGGGGGCATGTGCGGCGCGGCCTCCTCGGCGCGGCGTTCCACGTCGAGGTGGCGGTGTGGCTGCTTGGGCACCTCGCAGCGCGGCGGGGCCACCTGCTGCCGCCGCCGTCGGTGGGCGAGCTGCGCCGCGAGACCCGACCGTGCCCGGCAGGCTCCCTCGTCACTCGCGGGCTCGCCCCGGGGCAAGCCTTTGTGCTCGATGTCATGAGGTCCATCGGCACCGAGAGCAGCGACGTTCGCGCGTCGACGGGCGAGTTGTTTCATCCGTCGGGGTGGCCGAGGCAGCCCATTTCCCCGGGCAGTTCCGCTGGCGTGGGGCTGCTCGTTTGAACGAATGAGGGATGCGGGCATTTCTCTCAGCACTCAAGTGGCGATTTCGTGCGGAGAAGAACCTCAAGCCCCGATCGCGAATTCGTTTTCTTCGTGCTGCGAGTCTCTCTGTGTTGCTGCGTGGCGTCAACAGCAGCCATGTTGGCCCCTGGCGGTGGGGCCGCGCCAGCTGGACGAGCAGTTGTGCTTCTACCTGGGGCGCCTGTGGCTGGAGGGCGAGGGCAGGGGCCTCTCGAGCGACGCGCTGAGCGGCGCGCAGTTCCACCTAAAACGCAGGCGGGTTCCCCAGGCGCCTGGGACCTGCTCCGCGCGTGGGTTTGCATCGAGGTGCCCGACCGCGTGCCGCCGCTCACCTCGAGCATGCCCCTAGCGCTTGGCCACTGGATGTGGGTCAGGGCCGGCGCGACGAGGCCGTCGTCACGGTCACCGCCTTCAACGGCCACATGCGCGCTGGGGAGTTGTTCGCGATGGCCTACGAGCGCGTGGCTGTCGGTGCGAGGTGCGCTGGTGTCATCGCCTTCCCATGGTCGAAGAGTGGCGCCAGGCGCGGAGCCCAGGATATCATCGCCGTCGTCGGTCGATCCTGCCATGGGGCGCGCTCTGGCGTCGCTGAGAGCGCGCGGGCGTGCTGGAACCCGGTTTCTG